TTATTATTATTATTATTATTATTATTATGTACAATGATGCACAGGATGAGTGACTTGTCTCAGTACTGGCATTGGCATTGCTCTTTGAGTGAAGCAATAAACATCATGGCCTTCATGTAACCGAAACTCTTCTAAATCTCCAACATCACTGAACATTAAACACTAACAAGTCTTTCTCTTTACTAAAAAGCACATCAAATAACACTTATAAATTGACTCTCCTAATGCAGTCCCATGCAAAGCATGCTGGGAACTACAGACCCACCGCCCAGTTAGTTATGTCAACAAAAATGATTCATGTAGTCCCGAACACAAAATGATTAAGTTAACTTCCACTGTACAAATTTTACATGTTCAAGTGAAACTGTGTTGCTTCAATACATTTAAACAAAGTAATTTAAGAAAACAGCAAAAATCTTTGAGTATACTGTTATTGTTTGTCACCGGTAGCAGCTCAAGCTGTTCTAACTTGCATCTGTAAAACGGGTCAAAATGAGTGGTGAAGAGGGGCATTATAGGTCATAATTTGGCCCTGCATATTGACTTTGGTTGGTGTAATTGCTTTCTCTTAATATAAAACATGTTGCCACAACAGTGTATTGTTTGACAGAGGATGCATTATGAGTGAATGACTTACCAGGAGTAGTGCTGTTGATGGGTACGGCACTGCTGGCAGAGACGGGCGTAACGCTGGGGGGTGGGAGCCCTGCAGCCATATCCAGTAGAGGCTGGATGATGTCACTCTTAAAGACACTGTTTTTCTGCCATAGATTTAGTACTCGGACAATCTTACTCTGCAACCCAACATTGAATGTGGAAAATAAGCAAATGGAAAAAAGTGTCTAGACAAGACCTTTACCATTTGATTACAGGGGCATGAGAAACAAACGCACCTTGTCATCAGCTGGGCAGCGGTAGAGGTTTTGGAAAGTTGTAATGATGTTCTTACTAAAGCGTGGGGCGAAAACATCTTTCTCTTGCCCAAACTGGTGACGAGATTGCCGTACAATGGAGTCGATGACATACAGACCAGGGACTTTGTACTCAGGCTTGCACTACACACACACACACAAAAGAAAGAGAAGTAATGAATGATGAACAAGTGTGTGGGGTTTGGGGTTCAAATCACCACATAATATATCATTTTTGAAAGTAAACTTAACAGCCAGTGATTTTCCATGCATTATAAATTTACAACCATCATCACAGTCAGGGCCGCTTTAAGACCCCACTGGGCCCCGAGGCTATGACTTACTGCAGGGCCCCCCATCACAATAATGATATATATAATATAATAATAATATATATATATATATAGCTTAAAATAGGATTTTTATCCAATCAACATTTTTGATGCATTGCAATTTCATAATTCTTGTTACCAATTCCAATATCACAAAATAAAAAAAAAACTAGACTACGTAAAAAACACTTACTGAAGACAAGTAAACAGTCATGAATTACAATAGAACAAAGAAATTGACCTACAAACACTTAAAGCACTGAATAAGAAATATTACCATATATTGTATAAAATAAATAGACCGAATAGTCTGCACTGTATAAATTCAGTATACATTATTTTACAAAAGTGATTCGGTTAAGGACAGTGAGTGATTTTCTTTCTAATGTTTAATTTACATTATTGACACAAATGGCAACAGCAGCTATATTAGGCTGCTTTAGAGAAATAGTTCACCCAAAAATTAAAGTTATGTTGTTGTTCTAAACCTGTATGAGTTTCCTTCTGCTGTTGAATGCAAACGTATACTATATTTGGAACTATATGGTCACAAAACAGTTTCTGTGCCCCCATGACTTCCATAGTATGGAGAGAAAAAACACTATTGGAGTCAACAGGGACCAGAAACTTAACCTGGTGGTTACGAATATTCTTCAAAATATATTCTTTGAGGAGTTGAGGAGAACAAAGAAATTCATACAGGTTCAGAACAACTTGAAACGGAGTAAATTATATTATTTGTATTGTGTATTTGTATTGTGTGTAAACTGATCCTATAATAATTTAAATTTTTGGGTGAACTATATCCCTTTAAAATCTCATCATATAATGCCAGGATCTCATAATAGCCAACTAGTGCACATGCTTAACTTTAACTATTAACGTTCATTTAAGACACAAATGACTGTGTTGATGAGGAGACAGGCATTTGACACATAACTATGTGTATTCGAACGTTTAAACACAAGGCGCGAAAAATAACTCTTAGTTTAGTCAGGCGCTGTACGAGCAAGTGCGTTTCACGCGTATCCGCGTGCATTTGCCAAAATGAATTTTGCCCCACTGCTAAATGTCCCGTAACAGTTAAATTAGTTTTTAATCCACAATGCTTAATGCGTTTAAATTAAAAGCTTAGGCCTACTACATCATGACGCACAAAATGAATTTCTCAACACATAAGTGAATATAGGCCTATAGAGTTTGTTCAAACACAAAAAGCACTATAGATCTATCAAGTTAATAATCAAACTAACCTAAAATCTGTGGAGATGATGACGCTGTGTTTTTATCTGCTCATGTGTCCGGTCCATTTGCGGTTCCACAACTCCTACTCCATCATCAGCTTTAGTAAAATAAACTAGCTGTGGATTTTAGTGACTAACTCATGTTTTCCCCTCTCCCCTCATTTTGTTTCTCTCACAATTTTATTTTTTAGAATAGTTGACATTTTTACTTATCGAAGATTATTCTTTGCATGACCGTTTCTAGATTACTACACACTGCAATTAGCATGCAACAGGTTGTGCAAAAAGCATTTTCACAAAGCATATTTAAAATATCTCATTAAATACCACAAGTCTTTGGTGGTCTTGGGTAAGTAAGATTTAGTGACATTCTGGATCCAAAAGGTGTATTTCACCCAATGGTGACAATGTTGTTGCACAATAATACTATAAAATTGTACAAAGGAAGTTACATTAAGATATTTTCATTAATGATTAAATAATTCACGCATTAGAGGGTTAACGTCTTAATGCTATTAATTATCTTTATTCTACATGAAGGACTTCACATATGAACATATAAATACAGTTTCGGAACACTTGAGCTCCCTCTAGGCATTTCCAAACTTTCAAATATCTGATAGTTTATTTTGCATTTGCAAGAGAATAACAACTGACCTTCTGAATGAATTTCTCCACACTTTGGACGACATGCTTGTAGAACTGAAAAAGATAGAAACAAATAAAAAGCCTTAACCTTTAATATGAAGATTAAGATGTATTCCTTCATGATGAAGGCATTCACCTTCATCTCGGCACTGACCACATCAACTAAATAAAGAACCAGAGCTGGACATGAAGTGACAGAGACCATTAAAATATACATCAGTATCTCTGTGACTTATGTCACATGAATTCAACAAATGTCCACTGTTTCCTTTCCTCACCATTGCATATGTGGGCTCTTTTTCCCCAACATAAAAATAGTAATTTTTTTCAATGGGGAAAAACACTTTCTTAAATGCTTTGACTTCTTTTAAGCAACATTTTTTACATCACTAGTTCATGGTCCTTTGGTGTGACGAAGTTCCATGCAATCTCAATTAATGTGAGGTCATGAAAAATTGTAATTCAATGTGATACATGCTATACAAAAGATGTTTTATCAAATCTATTTAATAATCAAAACTGAAATAAAAACTGCATTGTACAAACATATAAATTGCACATACGGCAGTTTGTCAACTTTAATAAAATAACTGTTTCCACTCAAATTTGTTGATGAAATAAAACATATAAACAGTGGCTGTAATCAAAACTTGTTTTAATAACAGATTTATTCATACATGCGTTAAATCAGTGTTTCCCAAATCACTGTCAGGTGTGCCGTGGAAAATTATCAAAACTTTATCTCTATTATATTTTGTTATTATTATTGTTATTTTAAATCAATGCTATTGGTAATTTTTATTTCTGTTTGTGGGTCTTACAAATGTTTAACTAATGAAAAGCATTCAAAAGAGCTTGTAACTAAACCTCATAACGTCATTGAATCCTCAAACTGTCAGTGAAACCTCGTAACTCCACCCGCCTCCATTCAGAATTAATTGTCTGGATCTCTGCTTGTTTGCAATGCAAGGGTAAATAAAGAACTGATGGTTGAATAATTCCAGCGTTTTCTATACTCAAGAAACACTATGTTAATGTTTTGTGTGTGTTTGAAGAGCGGAGAAGAGAGAGTCTTAGCATTTGCAGTCTAGGTGTAGCTAATATGTTGTTATATATATCCTGTGCATAGCTCTTAATCTTCTAGGCTATATCATGAGAGTTTGACCAAATGTATTCAACAACAACAACTGAGCACCTACATAGCTACAATAAACTTTATAACCTCATGAAAACGTAATGCAATCTGACTGCCTCAGATTTTTAATGCCGTTTTAATGACGGACAAAACACATATTGCCGTCATTTGCTGGTCAAAAACCTTGTAACTTAATTTGAGCTTGATTTTCATAAAATGTTAATATTATAATGGCACATGTAAGTGTCTGATCATATATAAAGCCACAATACAAACTCTGGTGACTGGGTGTTTAATAAAAATAAAAAAAAACGTTTTGTTTTTGCATTTCCTGAAAGGTGTAGTGGTTTGACATAAAAGGTTTCCACCCAACAGTGAAGATATGTAAATTTGTTGTTTTACCATCACCAACAACATAAAGCTATCTATGACACATTGTACCTGACTTAAGCTCAAGTTTCACATTAAATAAGAGTACTACTTTTAATATAATATACAGTTTTAATATGCCATTTGAAGCAATGCATGTTTGTGCAATTTTGCTATATTTCAGTGCTTAGTGGTGTGCCGTAGAGGCTGACATTTTTTCTGGAATCCCACGGGTCACGGAAATCAAAATGGGAAACAAAATCACTATTAATCACGTGATTGGAACGGGACAGGAAAAAAATGTCAGCGGGAGTGGGCGGGACCGGGAATCGTAAAAACATATGATACCCAACTTTATACACAAATATACCTTTACATAAATAAACTATAAACTGTATATTTTAATTTTGAACTCAATTCTAGTTGCCCTGTCTCTTTATGCTCTCCTCCTGTTTGCTTTGATGTGGCTGGTTAAGTGAATGACGTACACAGTCCGTGACAGACAGATTGTTTACGGGTGGTAATAGGCTACAGTACATCGGGCAGGACATCCAAACGCCCACTTATCATTCATCGACCTCAAATATGGCTTTTCATCTGAAAAAACGTATGTAGTAACAACTTTACATGGCCGCTCAATCTAATGTTAACCTACAGAAATGTGCGCTATTGAAGTGTCTGTGTGGAGCTGATCAGTAGCACTCACAGCAGGACAGATGGAGGCGCCGGCGTGCTCACTTGCTCTTAAAATACCCAGGAATTTTTGGTCATACAGATAAAAGTAATACATCTTTCGAATCAGTAAAGACTCTACGTTTATTTGTGTGCACTCAGAATAACAACGAAACGTAGCGCTTCTGTAAAATAATTAAAGCAAACAGGATGCGCTTTCTGCCGTCTCGGTCTTGAGCGAGAAACTTTGAAACTCCGTGTATGAAAAATAAATCTATAGAGAGTGAAATGTCTACTAAAAAAAAATAAAAATCTAATAGAAAATGCGTGTGTTAGCATGGATGATTTACATAAATGAATGTGCTGGCTTTCAGTTCAATAAAACAACAAAAAAAACTACATTTTGGATTTTTATTCAACTAAAGTAGGTATGCTGTGATCTGTACGGTATTTTTTACTGTAACTGACAGATTCCGGACAAAAAAACGGGAGTGGGAGTCATTCTTCCGGGATTGGGACAGGACGGGATTTTCCCCCAGTTTTTTCATGGGATTGGGATGGGACGGGATTTTTTTTTGTGGGAGTGTCACCCTCTAGTGTGCCGTGGGATTTTTTTCTGATTAAAACTGTGCCGTGGCTAAAAAAAGGTTGAGATTAATTAATTAATAAGCATTAAATAATGTAGACAACAGGTTAAGTAAAAATAAACTGCTTATCTCTGCATAACCAATTTGAAAGTGCCAAAACAACCACATAAAAGTTTATTGTTTGCATTTTGTGATAAAATTGACCATTTGAAAACTTAGACTTTCATATTAAAAGAATATTTCATATTTAAGAATCCATATTAGTATCAACCCCTCTACATTGCGAGTAAATCACTCGCATATACGACTAAATCTTCACTCTGGGTGACTAAATGATGTCTAATATTAGCCAATTGCTAATAAATTCTCAGATTTTACTCGCCAGTGTGTGAGTTGGAGGCTAAGTATAAGTTTAGCTCAGATACATTTTCACTCGCCGAACACTCTGACTGAGCGCTTCAGAGTTTCACTCTCCGCTAAGTGATCTGTGCTGTTTTTCAATGCTAACTCTAGTGTGAAGGCGCACGACTCGCCGTCGCTTTGTTTCACACACACGCAGCGAGAGAGGGAGAGAGAGAATTGACGCGCTACCTATGCGCGCTACATGTAAACGATATTCTTTGTTGTATTTTGCTGTTCCTTTGGAATTCTTCCGCTTTTAAGAACTACCGCTTTCGGTAGTAGTGGGCGGAACTAATGCGCAAACAGCAATCTCATTGGCTGGCACTCACCTATTATCGTCCCCATTTTGATTTCAGCAAATCAGTTCGAGTGAACGCACACAACCCGATTAATATTCATGAATCCAGTAGCTCATTAATCCTTGGTGCGTTTTATATTGTTCTTATTAGTAGAATTCGTATTATTATCTTATCAGTATTTTTGTTCATTTTCCCCCAATTTGATTTTTTTTTTACAGAAACACTGAATGACTAAAAAAGCACCACCACCAGTTCGAAGTTCAGTTAAAATGACTAATATGCATTCATACATGGTTATCAAGTTTTAATTCTAATGACTAAAGTTCCATCATTAAATAATATTGATCATCATATTATAATGCTTGACTGACTTTCAGATATTTATAAAACTGTGCCATTTTATAAACAAACATACACACATATATATATATATAGATATATATATATCAGTCTGGCGAGTAAACAAAAAAATTTACTAGCCAATGGCGATTCAATTGCCAAGGTGTTCGTAGAGGGCTGAGAATTGACTTGGGAAACAATTTTGGTCAAAATATTTTGATGCATCACTACTATAAATGCATTTCGATGGACAAAAAGCACCTAAAAACCAGTGTACACCGAATGAGCTGCTGCAGGTAAAGTGCATGATCCAAACTATGAGAACACTGTATATTAACCTTCTGGAGATGTTTTGACATGCCCTGACATTTGTGCTTATTTCAGTTACTTAACATTTTAATGGCTGAAGTCTGATTACACTGTACAACTTGTTATACAATAATATGTGATCAGCATGTGTGTACAATTTATGCGTGGTTAGTAAAAACCTTAATTTCTTTAAATCCCTGAAATAAGGTCATGAACCAAATACTAAAGGTTTGTGTATGCACTTCAAACAAACTCATAAGCCTATAGATTAGCCATGATAGCTTCTTCTATTATTCTGGCAGATGTGTGAGCAATCTAATATGCAAAACATGAGCACATAACTAGGGCTGCAACAACGAATCGATAAAAGCGATTATAGTCTATAATGAAAATAATTGACAACGAATGTCATTATCGATAATAGTTCAATTCAAAACAATTTTTTAGTGTAAAACATGTTGAAGATTAGCTGATAGGCTGTCGATTCATTAAATGATAAGCTGTTTCCTCATAAAAGCCATTTATTCAACGTAGTGAAACCACTCCTCCATTGCCATCCATTAAAAAAAAAAAAAAACAGCCTCTGGTCTCCTTTACCACGTACTGCCAAAGCAGAAGCATTAGCCGTTACGCTTTTTTTGGCTAAAGGTTTGCCTTCCAGTGACTTTGAGCTTCCGCCAGTCATGTCAAATTACAGCAGTGAATAATGCATTTCTATGGACAAAATGCATCTAAAAATAGCAGATGAAACCGAGTGAGCTGCTGCGGGAAAGATGTGTGATCCAAGCTGCCCGAAACATGAGAATGCTTTATTTTAAACTTCAAGCTAATGCATTAGTGTAATGTTTAACACGGCTTGTCCTGTCAGGCGCTTTGACAGATGCATGTGCTGTTTAATGTGTGAGATGTTTCCTCAGCACATAAACTGCATTTTACAGTTAT